GGGGATATGTGTTTGGCATATAAAATGAATACAAAATTCCTTAATAAAAATAAAATAAATAAATGAATTCAAGATAAGGGAAAGGTTATGTAGAGAGAGATCATAAAATACTTTACATTAGGACTTTGCTTTATAAGTAATGATTTCAAAGCCATGTTGTAGCAGGAATCTTAGAAGGTCTTATTAATAAAATCAAACCTGAGCCAGGTATTGGGGTGAATGCTAAAAGATCAGAGAGACATAACAAGCCACAGCTAACCTCACCTGGCGAACTTCTCAGCTGATCTTCTTTCCTCAGACTGGAAGCCTCTGTGTCCTCATATCCGAAAGGATCTCAGTTGAACTGCTGATCAAATGCCAGAATGCTTAACCAGCCAAATACTTCTAGTTTCTGGTCTTCATGCCTTATATACCTTTTTGCTTTCTCCCACCACACCCTGTGATTAAAGGCTTGCTTTCTGGGATTAAAGGCATGAGTCACCATGCTTGACTGTATATTTGAACACAAGGATTTCTGCCTCTGGAATGCTAGGATTAAAGGAATGTGCTACCACTGCCTATCCTAAGTATCTAGTGTTTTTTTTTTCTGTTCTCTGACCCCAGATAAGTTTATTAGGGTACACAATATTTTGAGGAACACAACACCACCACACCATGTGAATAATATTCTGCCAATGAGTTCTTCTAACAAAGGTATATCAGTGGCAATCTTTTCTATATTAAGAGAATCACGGAATGGACATATGGCAAAAACTGAAGGTACCAAAGCTTGAAAGAAGAGTCTCAGAAAATCATTTGAATAAAGTAACTTATTTTTTATCCTGGTGGTTTATTTCTGCTGATGTTTATTATAACTCAGTTTAGTACTTTGCTCTCAGTAGAAAAGAACCTTGTAGAAAAGAACCTCAGTAGAAAAGAAATTTGGAATGTTGATGGGAACATAGTAATCTAAAATGATAGAAAGTTACATGAAAGACAAAGAAGAATAAGTATATAGATTAGGAGTCAACCCTAGTTGATGGTACAGAAATTTCTCCCATGTCATTAGGTGAGAAGAAAGGAGGCACTGGTCAGCAAATTCCACAGCAAGATGTAAGGGAATAATTTTGACTGGTGGAGAAAGTACTCTCCATCCCAATAAACAGACATTTATTTCCCTTGCACTCAATTCACATTGACCCCTAGTCAGTTCTCCAACATGAACAACTGTATTTTCTTACAATTCCACCCTCAATCCCCATACTTAGTGTCTAGTCCATGACACTGTAAAAGATGTGTTGCTGTACTTCCCATTCATAGTCCATTTCTGTGTTGATCATGTCTAGAGCTGTGACAAGCATCAAACACCAGTATTCCAAGGACCACAAGGACCAAGGCTGCCATCCCCATTCTGAGCAGATTCTCCACTGTGTGATGATCCTGTGTCTCTGAGTCTGTGGCTGTGGAGAAAGAATGAAGGGAAGAAGAAAATCAACTGAGGAAGATCACATATCAAAACCCTCAGAAAAGCTGAGAATTTGTACTCACCTGTCTTTGGTTTGGACATGTTTTGTGATATAGTGATGTTCTCATCAGTTCCTAGGTACAGAAGAGAAGGTACATGATTAATTAAGTACATAAGAGAGCAGAGAGTCTTCTCTGAAGTCAACATTCATATTTCCAGTAATTTTCATTTCTTATAATTGCATATTAGGCTAATCACAAAACTTCAGAAGGATCCAGTATCAATCCTTTCCCTAGGGTGCCATGATTCCTTCTGGATTCTTCACAGACATCAAGTTGTTTGAGTTCACACTTCAGACTAAGACACTTGAGTGTGATTTTTTTTTTTATCAACACAAGAACTAAGTATTGGTGAAGAAATTCACCTCCCATTTCCAATTCATAATTTAGGAGGACTTCCTTTGCTTTCTGTTCAGTCTGGGGCATGAGAACATGTAACTAAATTCATGAAGGAGAAATTGTGTGTAAGGTCCATATCAATACTTTGTATTCACCACCTCTTACTCACATAACCGTGCAATGTATGACTGACTCCTATCACTCCTATACATTTTACCTACTGATCACCCAGCAGGAAGGCACACTGTGGAGGATTAAATGCAAGAAATCCAAACTTTAACTGTGTTCCCCCCTCTGAAGATAAAATGCATGAACTGAAAGGAAGGAGCCTGAATGCCTTTAAGGATTAACAGTGCTGTGAAAATGTAAGCCAAATAAA